ACAGAGAATGGCTCGAAAAGATGAACGAGGAACAGAGGAGGAGCGGTCTCTCACCAAATCAAGTGCGTGACACCAGAAGACGCCGGCTGGAAATGGAGCGCAAAGAGACAGCTAAAACAAAACCCTTGATGGAGCTCACGAGAAGACAACGACTGCTGTTGATGGACACTGTACCTCTAACCAGAGATCTTTTCGTAACTACTTACTGATGTCTTGAGGAATTTTATCGATGAGCCCGATGATAGTTAGAGTTAGATTTAGTAGGTGTTTTACGGCGCTCGCAACTGTATAAGGTCATATGAGCACTAGAAGATTAGAGGTGTTACAAGAGAGTAACAAAAACAAAAAAGAAGAAGGGGAGATAAGGATGATAGTATTGATAGATGTTTCAAAGGAAAGAAGAAGCAAACCACATCAGAGCTCCGCCAACCACCCACTAGAATTAGATAATAAATAGGTTAGTTCAAGGAACAAGACTAGATGCGACACAACGGAAACCAACGAGAACGGAGTCAATGTATTATGTATTGGTTTTTGTTTTAGTAGAGGTTTTACGGCGCTAGCAACTGCATACATGTATTGTTTACAATGATCTGTTCATTAACTCTGTAAGACAGGAAACATCGAAGAGAAGAAAAGTTTAGTTTTAGTAAGTGTTTTACGGTACTTACAACATAATAAGGTCATATAGGAGCCGAAGATTAGAGGTGTTACAAGAGAGTAACAAATACATAAAAAGGAGGGGAGATAAAGACGATAGATGTTTGATAAAAAAGAAGGAGCAGACCATACCAGAGCACCCGCCAACCACCCACGGTCTAGCTCTAATGTCCATCAGCACGTATACATTTGGGTAAAAGTCAAAACTGAGCCCTCCATTACCAGGAACCTTCTTGACCTTGATCTAGACCGTATACCCAGGGCCTCACTTTCTGTGGAGCCACATCATCTGGGTTGCCGTGACGTCATGCGAGAAAGACGATTGACTTGTACTTATTTCAAGACTGGCCCGGTGGGTTAAAAAAAAAGGGGGGGGGGTGAAAATATACTTTCCCGAACATAATTTGTACTACGACGCCTGCAAAAGGGACAGGACCTGGATCAAATTGACTTCAGAAGAACCCAGCCCAAGGAATAGTGAAGTCAAGACCAAGACTAAAAGACCAAGACGAACGCGAAAGATTTCGGACCGAAGAAATAAAGAAATACCTGAGACAAAAACAAAATGGCGCAACAGAGTGCTCAACATAAATCCCTTCCTTACACAGTTCAATTAATTTCCGCGTAGCCTACATGTATTAGCATATTTGGCGACATGCTTCGTCACAAAACAAAACATTAAATATCATGTCCCAGAGCAGCACAAACGCTATATACCGTGTTGTGACGCAACACTATTAACAGTGTAATACTAATTACGGTTGTCATTGTGTTTTGAAAAACCAAACATGTTTTGCAGTTGTTTTTTTAATACTCGATTTTTGTTTCCTTTCTTTAATATTCTTGCTACTGGGATACCAGTCTAAGGCCAAAGTATATAATATATCAGAAGAAGAACACCTTTGTCAACTATATAATTGAGCTTTCTTCCCTCCCCTATCCCCCCCCCAAAAAAAACAACAAAAAAACAACAAAAAAACTTACATTAAAATTCTTTTCCCTTCTTTTTCTCGTCTCGGCGCCGTTATTATTGTCCTCGCCCCAGCCCCTTTTCCCTCCAATTCTTTTCTTCCGTTACTCTCTCTCTCTCTCTCTCCCTCTCCCTCTCTTTCTCTATCTCTCTCTCCTTTCCACGGTTCTGTGCTGTAACAGGTTCTTCACTGTTGTACGCAGAAAGAGAGGGTTTGATTTCCATGTGGGAAGGTTGTTTGTTTTTAAAAAATAAACCAAGTATCAACAGTCCATCTGCTGGTATGTTGTATCTCTCGCAGCCCAGGTTGGCCTTGACACGCTGGGCCGAGGCAGTCACGAGTCTCCCCAATCATCCAACATTCACAAATTATTGTGTTGATGGAGGCGTAAAACACAATCACACATATCTCTCCCCTCTCTCTCTATCTCTGTGTCTGTCTCTCTCCCTCTGTGTCTCTTTCTATCTCTCTCTCTGTGTCTCTTTCTATCTCTCTCTCTCTGTGTCTATCTCTCTCTGTCTCGTCTGCTGTCTCTATCTGTCTCTCTCCCAAACGCATACACACACACACACACACACACACATACACACATACACACACACATTTCATATCAAAACAAGCACAGAACAAATGAAGACACAGCAATTTCAGGCCATATTTTCATTATGAATAGACTCAGTCTTGATAAATACAGTGCAAAGTTGCATCAATCGCATGCAAAAAATACAGGAACAGAATTCAACAACGTATAAACCACAGAATGAACAGATAACGAAATTTTACAGGACCAGGGTTAAATGAGCAAAACGAAAGAACTGGAGTGGACTATTTTAAAACAAAATACCAAACAAATTTCTGTACCACAATCAACAAGCTTTACAACCCACAGAAAGCTCATTCCTTGTAAACAATAAAAATGAAAGAACAGCTTACAAGAACAAAGATTAGAATTAAAGAAAGAACTTAATCCATACAAAATGTAAGAAAAATTCACGTTTAAAAACGAAAAAAAAAATTGTATTAAAAAAAACTAAACAACTGAAGCATCACAATACAGCAATAGACAAAAGCTTTCTTTATGATACTAAAATACATACGATGAACAATATTACCACCAATACCAAAATTTTTCTTGTCATACATTATACTGACAGGAAAAAATACCATTGCACAGGTTATACAAATCCCACCCAAGCATTTGTGAACATCTACCAGAGCATACATAAAGGTCAATTGCAAAAATATAACCTAAAAAAACTTTTTAAAAAACCCCAAAAACATTCATCCATAGAATTAGAATTCTGTACCATGTGTATCATCCCAAAGCACTGATGCAATAACAAAATCTTGTCACTGCACACACAACCAGTACTAGAACCTTCCTCAACTTCCTGTCCCCAAATACATCACTTGACAGATGCTTTCCTAGGAACAAACGGCATCACTACACAAAAACTTAAATTTTAAGAAAGTTTTTGTACTTTTAATAAGAATTTTACGGCACTTGCAACACAAATAAGTCATATAAGTGCCGAAGATTAGAGGTGTTACTAGAGGGTTACATAGATAGAAAAGAAGGTGGACAGACAAGGACGATAGCTGTTTGATTTTGATAGGAAAGAAATACTCTTCCTTTTTTATCTGCACACTTACTGCAAATAGAGTTCTATAGGTTGGTGAAAATATAATGCTAGTTCATTCTTCAGTCCAATGACTTGACATCTCACAGATAGCTAATCACTGAAGTGAAAATGCAAAACTGACATAGTACTAAAACAAGTGTCTCACACCTACCAAAAGTCTGGGTTTAGGTGTAAGCAAAGCATAGAGACACCAAAATTGTCATAAAATCATATAGGATATAGTGCTGAGGAAAACAAATCGACAAGCATAAACAGAGGGAAAGAAACAAAAGTGGACCGCGTACCTACCAATACACTACACACTCACAGATCATTAACCTGACTTCCTTGGCTAAGGTACACATGACTGAGATTAAATTGACAGAGGCATCAGGAACATGCAATTACTATAACAAGAACCACAAAGATTGAATGTTGACAAGGAAAACAAACTAGGAACAACTGACCAATTACAAGTGTTCTACAGCCAAAGGGGGCCACTGGAAAGATTTGGTTAGACTCACAAACAAAACTACACAAATTACAAAGAAGAGATGAAAATAATTCCTGACTTAACCAATGACGGAAAGCTATTCAAGCTCTGTGAATTATGTAAAACTGAGAAAAAAAAGAAAAGGGATGTTTGTAAGACATTATAGTTACAGTGGGGTTCCAAACATAAGACGAAAAACTCAATATAAATCTGATTTGAGACCGATGAATTTTGTAAATGACATTAGACTTTACTGCAAGTGAATGAGTACATATATATTATAATTATATAAATATATACGTAAGTTCTTAACATGAACAAACTACTTAAACTTAAATATATGGGGAGAAAAAAACTGATTTATTCATAAACAACACCCCCCCAACCCTAAATCCTAAACCATAACAAGAACGTTCTCTCTCAGAATGATGCATCAATACAATAGGACAATCGGAAGACATACATACAGCACCACTCCTGACACACCAAGCAGTCTTTCTCAGGAGAGGCACAACTTTAAACCAGCAAATCCTTCTTTGAAAACAAAAAATATCTTCAACCAGAAAAAAGCGGTAGATTACATTCTTGACCACTGGGACAAGAGTTTCTTTCAATTCTACAGCTAAACATAATATGTGTGGGAGTGTCGGATGATGCGGAATTTTATCTTGAGATATCACCGAAAATAGGCCCTGAACTTCCTTTTAATCGAAAACAAGATTATATGAAATTTAGAACGATAAGCCATATTTACATCAACATTTCAAGGAATTTGCTCAAAAATCAAAAATGATTCTAAATATTTCTAACGAATTATATTTGAGGACATATTGTCGCCAAATTACTCCGAATTTCTAGACAAACAGAGGGAATATTCATTCAATCTGAAGGACACTTTCTTTCCATGGGAAACCCCATATATTATATATACCAAAGGAGAAGAGAATTTTATTGCCAATTCAAGAAAACCCAGTGCGCATGAATATTTAACCCATCACATATAGTTACAAGAGTTGTGCCTCTTCTAGTATCACTTCTGAAAAGGATTTTTCATGAGTGCAGTTTAACCTTTCTTATGTTCCATGTTCTTCGTCCTGCTCTGCGGAGTATTTTTTTCAAGTTTACAGTACATAAATAGCAAGGGTTTTTTTTTTGTTTCCAAGTGATTGAGAATTAAAGTTTACTTAATTTTAATTTGTTCCCAAAGTAAAAAATACTTTAAAACCCGTTTTCTCAAAACTTCACCTTCACCCCTGTGAACTTTGAAATGCCATAACTTTTCACAGTGCAAAATGCTCAGGAAAGATGTGTCTTTCAAAATTTGAAAAAAAAAAGTCGATTTTGAACATTTGCACCATGTTAAGGGTTTTCTCAGAGTCACACACATATTTTCTACTACTACTATTCTATACAGTAGTCTCTGCCTAAACTCATAAAATGTAAAAGAACATCCTGTTCAAAATGCATGTTTTCATACTTTTAAAGGTATAATTTTGGGGTGTTGGTTGAACGTCAGTTCTAAACACAAACTCCAAAACTCCATTCTGCAAAATCCTTGTTTGTTTGTTCACATAAAGAGAAGCACGTCGACACAAGAATGGTTGTTTAGTGCGGAAAAAAAGTAAGACAAACAGAAAGAAAACATAGAGGGAAAGTAAAGAAGTAAGACCTACTATTGGTGCCCTCCAACCAGCCACGACAAAAACCTGGCAACAGTAACACGGGCAAGCGTGAAAAATAAATTACCGTCACGACTCGTTTGCGTCAGCTAAATATTTGACTACACAAGACAAAGAATAAATCATTTCCCTCATTCTTCATTAACCTACACACTCATGCTAAAAAGCAAGTGACATACTATGTTTCTACATGTCTGCCAACTAA